AAATATTCTCAAGTACGACGTTAAACTCAATTTCACCTCGCCTCATACGAGCTGAATTTCAGTTCGTGCTTCTGATTAGGTGTTTTTTTTACACCTTCAGAGTTCTGTTGGTGTTCGACATTAACAGACTATTCTGGCAGAAAATGACATACGACATGACATGACTTCCATGATGGTTATATGAAGCTTTGGTGACATATTGGTGACACAATTGTACGTGTATGGACATCAGCTAGTGATCAAATTTGGAAAAATAGATTTATCAAAAGTGGTCCGAAGAATAAATCTCTCCTAAGTGTATGTCCATGCAGTTGACATCCCTGTGCGTTGATGGGCGATTCGAGTTAATAGCTTGTGTATAACTGAAACTTGCAGTTGGCTTTTTAATGTGGATGGCTCACATTACATATGTCCTGTTTATTTGAACAAACTTGCCAAACCTTTATAAAACATCACACTATTTAATAATTCTTAAACCTATACTTGAACTCAGCTTAAACTTGTTGTTACGTGGTAACCTGTGCTTGAAGGTTCATTCCATGGAGTTCATGCTATCTCGCTACAGGGAAGCGTCTATTGGTTGAGAGTTTCTTGGCGCGAGAATTTGAATTCCCTATGAATTCGTTTCCAACAAATGAAGAGGTTGTTCACTGGTTGTGGTTGACACTAAACTTTTCAACATTATAACAGTGAAATTGGGATGGGGGAGCCTGGTAGGTGCAGTTTTTGACATTGCGCCAAGCATTTGTGAAGGAGAAGATTGTCATTATTTTCGTTTGCTTCTTCACTTTTCTACAGTTTTCATTAGTTCCAAACTAGACCATTAATAATTTTGAGCAGAAAATTACGCCACTATTACGTATGAAGAGGGTCAAAATAACGTTCCAGAAACAAATCTGAATTACTTGACAATTCGGATTTGTTTTCGGTTTTTAGTGCTGAAACATTTTGTTCTAACATACAACGTATTATCTTACCAAATAACATTCTCAAAAATGGGAATATCTCAAAAATATCTTTGCGAGCAGACAGTGGATTCGAACCCGAATTTCTTGGATTGTGAAATCAGTTTTAGGTATGAAAATATATTACCTCCCTTGGCTAACATTTGGGATTTCCTGATTGTTCTCTGTCCACAGTTAGTATTTAAATACAGTTTTGAAGAAAGTTTGGATTAGAATTGAATATATTTCTGACCCCAGATATGTATATTTTGTAGAGTTGTCAGACATCCGGTTTATTTGGTAGACACTGGTGAAACATAACCCTCATTTGCCCGATGACAGTTCTTTACAATCTCTTCACAATCTCTTCAAACTTCAAAGTTTTAACTTTTCTGTTTGAACTTACAGATTAAGTACCCGACGTCAGTCATTGGCAGTTTTCATACTTATGCTTATTTGTTCAACAATTCAAATATTAATCTCGCGTAGGTGTCAGAGGTCTAAGGGAAGTAACCCTAGCGAAGATCCTTCTTTGTTTCGAGTCAGTCGCATCTTCGTACCAATTGTTTACTTTAAGTTCGACTCCTGATGCGTTCATTTGTCTGCGATTCAGTGTAATGGTTTTTGTTATATTTTGCTTGACCATATATATATATAAGATCAGTCATTACGTATTTTGTCATTATACAATGCCTGAGGTATATTTATCTGATCAGATAGACTAAGGTTTGACCAAGATTAGTTCTTCATATGAATGTTAATTGTTTCTCAATTGTGAAATCGCCTGCGTTCAAAGAACATCTTCATAATATCTAATACGAAATTCTAACTTTTTTATTTCAATATGAATTTTGCAATTTTTGTTTAAAACATATAAATTATTTTATATTTTAATTTGACATTAAATTGATAAAAAGTCTATGGTCAAAGGGAAATAACTCCAAACTTGCATTTTGTGTAAGTTTTCCCAAACTAGCTTTGTAATTAATGACTAGATCACAGATATATACGTACAAGAAATACGAGTACGAGGTGATTAAATTTTCGGTTAAACAGTACCAATCACCGAGTTTTTCGATATTGAAGTTGGGAGTAAACTGTTTCCGTTAAAATAGTGACACATCAGTATTAAATTGCATTTCACTGTCATTTGTCTTTAAAGAAAGGCAAACTGGAACGGTTGTTTTTCTACAAAACTTTAAAAATCGATAACACCTTTCTTACGTAACGAATTCTGGTAATTTCCATAATTATCTATCCTGTACAATTACCGTGTATGACAATGTTTAGGGAATTCTTTTTCAAACGAATCTGACAGACATTGTAAGTAAAAACATTAGCATTCTAGTCATGCGGCTCAGAAAAAGAAAATTACGTAAAAAAGTGGAATCCTAAAGCAATTTACGTAAACACTTATTTGGTTATGGTACGATCGATTTCTCGACAATATACTGTGTGTTGTCTTCGTGTTGCCTGAAGTGATGGTTTGTGGTGCCTAGTTGAACAGAATGACTTGATGACATTCGTAAAGATGACCAAAGTCCTAATTAACCACGAGGGCCAAACAATCTGCAAGTTAACATTGCATCTTCCTGTATTTGTATGTGTAGCTGAAATATGTTAATGTAGGTATAGGCGAGTTAAATGTAATACGACCAAGGTGGGAATTTGTATGTTGTACAGATCCCTATGACTCTCAGGCTGGTTAGATCATGTATAAATGACATTGGTTTATGGAGTGTTTTCAGGTACCGAATTCCTATGGGAGCGGCTTTTTGAGTGGGTTGATGGTATCAAAGGAGTTGCGTTTGTTTCAATGTTTGGAACGGACTTATCATTGACTCAACATGTAAATTTTGGGAGCGCCAAACCAATAAAACGACCATTTTAGTTTTCAAATGTGAGTTGAAAGTTAAATTCTTTGAGATGTGTGTTATATTCATGAAGCTGCTTCTAATGTGACTAAAGAGTCATTTTCTATACAAAATAGTGTTCGCATGAACATTTGATTATGATGTGTCGTTTCCATACATAATATGGTACTTGAATACATCAGGTGTTCTGACAATAGGGCCATTCTAAATGATAAGATTGACTTTGTTAAGTTTATATTTTTTAATGATCCGCATACACAAAGTTCGTGAACAAACAATGTCGATTATGTACCTCGGGACACGATTTGCGTTATATGGTTTTCAGGTCAATGACCATAATCACTTCATATTTCCCTTTGAATACTCGGACAATTAACATAACAAACCACTACATCAATCCTAGGAGCAAGGAGCCCATCACCTCTAATCTCTCGAAGAGTGAAGGACTTAACTTCCCAACGCCTATCTCTGACATATCTAATTGTTACTCGACAAATGATTTTTTTCTGTGTTCGTAACGTTTAAAGTTGATTAGTTGATTCTGAAATGACAATTATGACTAGTGTCAATTTTTCAAGGAAGATTGATTCGGCAAACAAAATTTTCTTGGAAGACCCCGTGAGAAATGGTCTCTGACACGTCAGGAACTGGGCCCATGTGAAACGTGTTGGATGGTGGGAGATTGTGGGTGTGGGTGGATACGTTTTTTGTGGATAGAGTGGAAGCATTTTGGGAGGCAGGCAAGAAGTGCCATACTTCATGAAGGAAGATTATGAAGCTGGATAGGGGAATATGATAGATTGTAGTTGTTTTATAGTGGAATTCGTTTCTGAATTTGTTAATATGAAATATTTCATTGCCTAACCTACCGTTCGGGTCAATTATACTTCATTATATATGTATTTGGATTAAGTTTAATAACCATCAAATAAGTACAGAATAAAGAATATGTTAATCTATGAGCTACAAACCATTAATGGTACATATAAAATATGATGTCTTGATTGTTTGGCGAAACAGATTGCATTGGGCGTACAAAGTTAAAATAGTGGTTTAAATTACATGAATGGCTCACTGAAAATCAGTCATCACATCAGGTGTTATTACCAGGTTATTACAATCGGGTCAAAGTAATAACGGTCGTAATGGAATTGGTGTTCTGTAATGTAACGAATTATAACCCAACGGAAGTACGTATATAATTAAAGGGTGGATCTAAATTAGAGGAAGAAGTAGAGTTAAGGAGAAGAATGGTATGAACAGTCGTATCGGGTGATGTGGTCAAATAAGTAGCTTGTGAGTTAGGAGGGTGTGCAGCTATAGGAAAGTGGTCCTTTCAAAGGTTGGTACCACATGAACACATAGAGTAAGGAGGAGCTACAGAACAAGGATGGGTGGAGTAGAAGGAGAATTGATACCCTGTTATAAATGACAAGGAGAATTTCAGGAAATGGTTTTGTTTTAGATGTATGTTAGATAAACCAGGAGTGCTTGGACAGGGTTTCACACTGGAGTGGACAATACCATTCGGGACGGACGTGGTCAATAAACAGAATCATGGTAGTTGAACAATAGAGGCAGGGTGTGGGGTGAAGGCGGGGAGGGTAGGGGCGTTATTTTAGACGACAAAAAAGGGGCAATTTCAAAGACGGTCGGGGAAGGCTCAGCCAGTGACGTGGAAGAGGGAGGCTCTGGTTCCAGGGGTATTGTCAAAACGCGATCAACCCCCACCCCTGCCCTGTCCTACCCCTCACGTCACAAAAACGTAGTTTTGAAGGCCGGACACTTGAGACAGCCATATATAATGTCCACTCATGTCAAAATTCACAATATATTGCAGCCGATCATGGTTCTATTGTACGTCCGATCAGAAGCATAAATCACCAATTCCGTTAGACTGTTTTTTCTTGCCCCGATTGACACTAGGGGAGGGTAATGGTGTACGTCGGGTGAGGATTTGGACGAGGTATACTTTAAAGATTAGTCGCTCTCACAGTAGGGTTCCGCCTTGTCATTTTATCAGAACCTAGTCGAGGCTAAATATCCTTCTTTCGACACGTAAATCAAGAAAATTAGATGTACAATGGTAATAAATTGCCGCACGCCATGTCAGGTTTAATTCTTACTACAATGATAACGCAGAATTTCTCCACCCGTGTAAAACAATCGACAACAAAGGACGGAAATCTATAGATTTTATTGCACATTTCATGATTCGTATGGAAGTACATATATCAATCCGACATAGATATTTATTGCGGATTTATTACTTGTGTCTTGACAAACATTTGACCATGCTCATGTCCAGGAGTAATAAAATTTTCAACAATGGGACACAGTGCCGATTTTGTCGCTCTTTAAATACCTATGCACGTCATATGGACGTATAGTTTCATTGTAAAACGCTTCTCTACAGGTTATAATATTCGGATTGTTTTTGTTTCAGGCGGCATACATACCCTTCACAGGCTCTCTTGAGACTGAAATAGAGCGAAAATATAATGTAAAAATTGTGCAAATATATACAAAGCTGAAAAAACATGTCAATATTTGAGTTTTATAACCTATGAATTAGAGAGAAACGTCATATTGTCAGCAATAGTACGGTTGCATATGTACATTAACAATGAATTTAAGAACAGACCATATCGCATATAGTCAGTGCCAATAGGTGGATAAACACATGAACATGACTACAATACAAATTGTTTACAAATTACTGATTGACATAAAAAGAGAAAGCTTCTTTTCAGAATATAAGACAGCTAATTTCATTGGTGGCTATTTCGGTCCAACAATCTCCACATCAACTGTTAAATACGAACCACTTTTATCGGTATAAAATCGCGTTAGTCCACAGGAAAGTAAATCCCATCTTGGTATATATCACAGCTATTGCGATAGAATATGTTGTTTTCTGGTATCATGCATACGTTTATAGAAACAGTTTATCTGAGAGATCGGTAGAAAGCTTTTGCCCTGAGGGACTTTGTAGAGGGAGGTGCTTAAATAAGATGATGTAGACAATATAAGTCATGTCAAAACATCGCTTGTTAAATTTGCCTTTAACCCACTTGGCTTCGGTGTATTTCCCTAGAGGGTGGAACGTTTTAAAAAATGCAACCGTGCTGAGGAAGAAGGCATTTGATATTATCTGAATAACTTATTTCAGATATAATCATAGTATAGTAGTACAGACAATGTGTTCGTTAGCAGATGGTGTTTTTCTATGACTGTGTTAGCAGCAAAGTGGTTAATGTGTATATTTAAAACAAATATAAATATAAAGTGCGGGCACTGAACTCGCGCGTTTAAAGACCATGGAACGAAAGCTATAGGACAGGTGATAAATCACTGTTATTTTATAAAACAAATGTTGATGCTGTTTCCTATTTCTAAAGTTCTTTTCAAGAGGAGATTTTAGAATATATATTATCATTTTTTGCGGTTTTGTTTCAGTAACAAGACCGTATCATCAATTCAAAAGTAAATTAACGAAATTTATAAAACCCACTTGCATATGACTTCAACAAATGTAAAGTCGTTCTCACTGCTACTAAACGGTTCTCTCCTTAAGACAACAGCTGGTATACTAAAGGAGATTTTTCAAGTTATGTTGGATATGAAATTACTCTTATCCAGTCTGTCTCATACTTAAATTTATCTTCTCCTGAAGGTCAAAAGTGGGTATTCCAAATTTAAGTTCACAATTAAGAGTATATAAGACCAATGTTGATGATAGAATATCACGGCTAACGGAAACCTAGCATATCTGACAAAACAAGTGTATTGGTATATCAGTAACGCTTTCAGTGTGAACGAAATTAGTCACAGCTGATAAAAAATAATGTCATGAAGATGGAAAAATACATTGTCATACAATTATCTCCAATATTGGGAATTTAAAATGACTAGTTCCTTGGTAATGTAATAATAAATAAGGTATTTGTGATGTATACTCTATGAATATGCCTTCACATCCATGGTCTGAACACCGGAACATTAATCTCAAAGCTTCACAAACAACTCCATTGTTAGTTAATTCTTTAAAACACACATAGAGTCAACACTTCTGACATGTATATTTTGAATTTAATCTTCATGTGATTTCACAAAAACTGGTTATTTCGTTAAATGAAGTCATTTCTTTGTGTGATTTCAGAAAACGAAAACTTGGCTTTGATATTTGATAATTTCACGCCAATCACAGCTACAGAGAGTACCAAAGTTACAAATTATACATCAACCATAATTATTTAATTTGCAATAAATTAAATTTTATCAGTATTTCAGTAAAAAATCATGAATATCGTTACATTAATACACACCATAAATACGCATGTTTTCAAATGAAATAACGAGAGTTTGCCATTCGATACAATATGATTATTTGTAATGCTTCTTTTAAATATAATATCCCAGGGAATGAAAAATTCAGAAATACTGTTCAGTTGCAGCGAGACATACAGATTGGTTGTAGGCCTGCTGAAGCCAACTCGTTGCTAATTACATATTCAGGCGCCACCCGGTCTGAGCGGGAACGAAACTATGAAACACGATACCAGAAGTATCACTTATAAGCAACACACAGACAATAAACGCGCATTTTCTGAAATTTGTAATTTACAAATATCGATAACGTTGGAAAAGTCGAAGTGAAGAGAAAATGAGAGGGTTGAGTTGTCGTTGGCATACAAGAGAGTGTGTTTTGTGGTTGGGTCTTTCCTGATTGGCAAGTTAAACATACACCAGGGAATGTAGGGAAATGAAGGTCACGTGATCTATTGTGGCATCTTGCATAAGGTGATAAATCACCATCAATTTATCATGTGTAAAAATTGCAATTTTCTAATACATAACACGAATAACCTGTGACAGTTTTACGACGAGTATTATTGAATGGATGTCAAGTGAGACTGTCTAGTTTATATTTGGATGTATTTTGGGAGATTTTTACATTTGTTGAGTGAAAGAGCTATGTATATTTTGAGAATCGAAATTGATTTAAAATAATGACTGGTGATATGTATGATATCGATTTCATTTTAAATAATTCATTTGCTATCTCCGACAAGAAGGTAAGTTTCATTCACGTAACTTACTACGAAGGTTCATTTCAACTCTCACACGTGCGTCAATAAAGAGCACACAGGCGTCTGTCATGCACGTGTAAGCCGTGTGTGTGAAATTGACGATGACAGTTATTATGTCAGTGACTGCAAGAATGAAACGAACACGATCCGCGTCGAATGGTATGGAATGACTTCTTCTGATGTCAATTACAAAATTGACAGAAAAAAAAATTGAGTTCAGAACCATGATTATTAAATTAAGATAATTGGTTAATCATATATGTTTATGAATAATGAGAAAATCAGTCTATCGTTCTGAATGTATCTGGTATTGTGACATTGAGAAGGATTTTCTTAATCTTAATTTTAACATTCTTACGAAAATTATGGCACTATATCCAATCTCTAATTCATAAAAACAAAACGTTTTTAGATGTATCTTATCCTGCTTGGCGCATAGGTCAAAATACAGTACAAGCTCCGCCCAAACTATATCCCTTTCGAAGCTCCTCCCATCTCTATTCGTGAATCCGATTTCAACATCGTTGCTTACTTTAACGAATTTATTATAAAATAGCTCTAATTTTAAATGATGTCTACTGAAATGAGTCAGGTGTAATATATTTTGTGAGATCGAACATTGAAGTTGTCTACATTTAATTATCATTTGCGTCTGGGATTCACTATATTGTAAAGGGTGTCATTGTAATTCGCGTTTTGCGATAATGGTTAAAGTTTGGACAATGGAACAATTTAAACATTAAATTATGTTATCCCATCAATAGCAATCAATCCCCGATCAATTTGCCACTCACTTATAAACGTAATGGAACCTGACCACAAGCCCATGACAAGTAAGGAAAGATTTTTAAAAAGAAATCGACAAAGGAGTAACCTCTTAAACGAAGCTCTCAAATCAAGTTCCTTTTAATTATTTTCCAATCTATCTTCTTGTGTAATATATTAATCCATTTAAGTTATCCAATTACAGTAAGGTATAAATCATTTTCCATGATCTCAAGTCAACCTACAATCGCATCTTTCGTAAAAACCGAAAACCTGGATTGTGTCAGTATCGGTCGTCCCGTTAAACACATAAACATCACAGAGCATGGATTTGAATCTAAACCATTTGTGATAATTAATCCGGCCTTATTACCCGTGAGAGAACTTTCTTTAGTGCCCTACTCAATCATACGGAGACTATCAGTGTGTTTCACATGCTTTCCGTGTCTGTAGGGGCCGAGGGATAGCGAATGCCATAATCAATGTTGAAGAGCTGTGCGAGAAATTTATCAGCTGATCCTCTTGTGTATTTCATAATGCAATGTACATCGTGTCGGAGTCTATTTACATGATTGTATAAAACAATGAACTTCAATCACATTAGGCTTCGTGGTTATCTGAACATGATTTACAGGGATGAATTAATATCTCTCGTTAAGATATTAAGAAAGACGTCATTTATGCAGTTCAGCTGATGAAACCTAAGCATCAGATAGAAACAGTGTACGTTCTATGTTAAAGAAAACAGTTATGTGTATGTTCATCCAGTGATGACAACCCTTGCTGAACGTGGAACACATAAACGTAATATTTTGATAGCAATGTCCAACAGTGAGTGAGTTTAGTTTTACGCCGCTTTTAGCAATATTCGAGCAATATCACGACTGGGAGCACCAGAAATGTACCCATGTGGGGAATCGAAACCGGGTCTTCGGCGAATGCATTAACCCCTAGGCTACACCACCACCCCGCAATGTCCAATAATATATACAAGTACACTGGAACAAATATATATATATATATTATCTCATTTCTGCCACTGCTATTATTGCTTGATTGTATAAACAGGTGAATGTTGTCTTACATAGCCAAATTGGTAGCCAGATACCATCGTATACAACAGAGCATCATACCCAAACACGAAACAAACGATTATGCAATATTAATCAAGGATTCTCGTTGCACTGGACAAAGATAGCCCACAGAAAGAGCAATAACAAGCCAACAGAAACTATGCTGCCCTCAAAAGAAATATACACGTTATCGAATTGTACCTGGCCAAACATTTCAAACGTTATCAAAACGCTGTTAGACTGAAAATAACCGCTTCAATCTTAAGGCTCGAAATACAACATGATACCGTATCAGATGTACCACCATCGCATGACCACTTGTCTTTTGTTTCATTTTTCATCCACTATCAAATATTGTTTAGCATTTCCTTTGCCCACATAATGTTAACATATAGCTTAACATCATTAAGGAATTGATATCACTATCTCTGTTTTATACACTTCTTTTAAAAAGCCCAGTAAAGATAGTCTTTACACCGCTGATCACATTATTTGTGCTTATGGGCAAGATGATCTATTAAAGTTCTAATTTCACAAAGTGTTTTTCAC